TTCTGACAGTTCTGGCGGCCAGTCTTAATTTGTTTAGCTAGAAGCATTTGCCGAAAAAACCGGTGCGGAAAGCGACAAAAACTGCAGAGACTATGCAAGAAACGCGCCTTCGCACGGGCAGCCCGTGCGTTGGCCAGTTATTCACTGTAAACTCTATATTTTTTGTTATAGCCGATCAAAGAACAAGAAATCCAGGGCGGCGAATCAGCTAGGGATGAGGAAGGCAGCAGTGTGCCCACAGATGTTATCTCGTATCTCTCATCGAGCAACTTCACATCGCTGCAAGATTCCGTTTCAAAAGCAACATTGCAATCGATCGCCGAGATGGGCTTCGTCAAAATGACTGAAATACAAGCGAAATGCATCCCACCATTACTTGAGGTTATCCATTTTGCATTATTTCACTGATTCGTTCCAATTTGTTAGCACAGCGTTGTCGTGCTGTGACATCGTTGCGCCGTTGATTAGCCCTAATCGCTCTCAGCGTTTTTGTCTGCTAAAAATGGCAATTATAGAAGACATATTTTCAAAAATCTAGCCTCAGTCTGTCAGTTCCCGGCCGATTTCGTTTATTTTTACTGGAATCGTATGCAATAACATTAGAAAACCCAGGAATTCCTGGGCCATCATCATATTTTGTCTACTGTTTAAGAAACCGAAAATTAAGATGAGTGATCAGTACATGCCGTCACCTGTTTCAGGGCCGTGACATTCTGGCATCAGCAAAAACAGGAAGTGGCAAAACATTAGCATTCCTTGTTCCTGCCGTTGAACTGCTCGTAAAGCTCGAATGGAAAGCCCGCAATGGTACCGGGGTGATCATTATTTCGCCAACACGGTTCGTCATTTGTTCTTTTTTATGCGTTTTGTGCTGTGTAACAGCAGTACTGAACGCATATTGTCATATTATTGTTTTTGGTTCCCGAGTTGAAAGTTGCGCATATTATTGTTTTTGGTTCCCGAATTGAAAGTTGCGGACAAGTTGCTGCGGACACACACACACATACACAGATGTGTCTGTGTATGTGTGTATGTGTGTCCGCAGCAACTTGTCCGCAACTTTCAACTCGGGAACCAAAAAACTTAGGGAGTCGAAAATTTAGGGGAACGTCCCCTACTTAAGTGTGGCCTAGCAAATTTTAAATCCAGCTTCCCCGTACCCGTGGGTAACACGTATGGCCCCGTGAAAGCTTTTACGGGTAAATCATTATCTCGGGAACCACGAAGTCGAGGAGGCTGAAATTTTAGGGTAATGACCTCCTGCCCACGCTCCATCTTGCCCATTCAAATTCAACGTTCCCGCGCTCTCGGGTATCACCTACGGGCTAGTGAAATCTTTTACGGGTAAATTATATCTCGAGAATCACTGGGTCTAGGGAGTTGAAATATTAGGGTAATGACCCCTTGCCCACGCTCAACCTTGCTTATTCGAATTCAGCGTTTCCGCTCTCCCGAGTATCACCTACGGCCTCGCGAAAATTTTGGCGGGTAAATTATTAACTCGGGAATCGTGGGAAGATATTCACCCCTCAAGATTTCGAATTCAGCTTTCATGCGCTGGTGCGTGAAATTTTTAACTATTTTTCAGTGTTTCAACTATTTTTGCATACATAAAAGTACAAAGCAATGAAAATCATCAATAGGCAATCGTTCGATGGGCTGAATTGCACAAAACGCATAATCGCACCGGCTAGTCTGGTGCGCGTTGCTATTCATTCTTCTTGAATGCATATTTATTCAACTGGAAATTTTTTAGAGAGTTGTCGATGCAAACGTACGGTGTTCTGAGTGAAATTCTGGAGAAGCACCCCTCTTTGACACATGGTTTAGTGATGGGTGGTGCAAATCGTCAAGCGGAGGCGCAGAAATTGGCTCGGGGAATTAGCTTCCTGGTTGCTACCCCAGGTCGCCTGCTTGACCATCTACAGGTACCGTCTAGTTTTAATTTTTTTTTCTTGTCTATCAGGTAGACAGTATTTTTCACAAATAATGGCTCTGTTTTGCACTGTTTTATTCGGAATTTTTGCAAGCAAGTGCAAAAATTCCGAATAGAACAGGGCAAAACGGAGCTATTATTTAAGTGATTGTCTTTTAATTCACTGAAATGTTACCTTTTAAAGAAAAAGCAAGACTGTCTCTGTATCTTTTTCCTTATGTAGAATTGCCGATTATATTTTATTTCTTTTATCACTGGAAATGCATGTCAGCTGGATGCGAGGTTCGGCATGATTTTTCGCTTCCGTGACAGTCAAACCAGCGTCTGGGATGTTCCCAAATGATACGTTTAGTCACTCACAGAGACAATGTAAAATAAGCAGCCTGTTGTAACACTGACGTGAGTATAAATGTAATAATTGGCCAACGCACGGGCTGTCCGTGCGAAGATGCGTTTTTTTCGCACAGCTCCGCACAATTTTTTGTCGCTAAT